CGCTGCTGCCTTGCCTGTAGATCACAGACTGCTGTGCTAGCAATGAGGGAGGCTCCGTGGGTGTGGGACCCTCCCGGCCAGGTGTGGGATATGATCTCCTGGTGTGCCTGTTTGCTTAAAGCGCAGTATTGGGGTGGGAGTTACCCGATTTTCCAGGTGTTGTGTGTCTCAGTTCCCCTGGCTAGGAAAAGGGATTCCCTTCCCCCTTGCGCTTCCCAGGTGAGGTGATGCCTCGCCCTGCTTCAGCTCTCGCTGGTCGGGCTGCAGCAGCTGACCAGCACCGATCGTCCGGCACTCCCCAGTGAGATGAACCCAGTACCTCAGTTGAAAATGCAGAAATCACCGGTCTTCTGTGTCGCTCGCGCTGGGAGTTGGAGACTGGAGCTGTTCCTATTCGGCCATCTTGCTCCACTACCAACTGTTTCTGTCTTAATCGCAATGATTCCCCAACTGAATTGTAACCCTTTTGGCTTTGTGGCTCATGAGCAGGTGAAAAATAAAATGGAGAAGCGACAGTAATAACATTTGCTCCGTTCATCACAGCTTCGTCAGACCCACACTGGTGTGTAACCTCAACTTCTCTCCCTCGCTTACATTCCCCTTGGGGACCTCCATATGACCATTAGCACCAGTTTTCAAATCATTCATTCCGTCATTCATTTAACAGTGATACCTTCTCTTCAAGCCATTATTTGAAGAAAACAAAACAGATAAAAAGAGAGCTGCTCTGAAGCAAAGATCACCCTTGCCCCACCCTCCAGCCCTTCTCCCCAGCAGTCCCTCTGTTAGGTCCTCTCTCAGGACAACTGAAAACCACCAGCTTTGAGCTGTGATATAGCCCATAGCCTCAGCTCGGCATCTCACGCCCTCCACGGGCTCCCTCTGCCTGCCATCCAGCCCTGCCTAATACAGTCCTGCTCATTCTCACTCCAGGCTACAGACATCCTCAAACTCCTCATAGGCTCTCAATTGCCCCCAACTGCTAAAGGCCTCCCCGATCCTTTGCTCATCCCTTTCTAATTCTCTCCTTTCCTTGTCTGCCCAGTGACCACAGAATTATATTTTAAGACCCAGGTCAGCCATCACCTCTCCTTGGAAAAGGCTTCCTTACCTTTCTCCCCTTGCATACATACAAAGGATGCCAACATGGTATCGTGTCCCTGCTTTCTTTTAAAACTTACCACTCTGGAATCACAATTGTATTTTTCTTTCCATGTCTGTCTTCCTAACTGAATCTGAAAAAAATGAACTTATCAATTTCTGCATCCCAAGCTCCTTACACAGTGTCTGGCACATAATAGGTTTTCAGTAAATGTTTACTGAATGAACAACTGCATCAGTGAATCAACAGAAATAAGGATGAGCAGGTCCATGCCTTAATAGTTTGAATTTCTAAGTTTGTACTTATATGTGCTAGTGTTTTACCTTATTTTAATCTCTTATGACTCATTCTTCTAGTTCACAAATACTTACTGTAGGCGACAACCACATTTTATTCATTCTACGGCACTCATTTTTCCATATTTAGCTTCTCTAAAATCAGTGCGAACCTGACAATCAATGGTATGTTACAATTAATTGGTATCATTTCCTTTCTTACTTCATGGTATACGAAATAATGGTGCATCTTGCAATCGTTGACATCTGAGACTCAGAAGAAATGCAGAAGACAGTAACACCAGGAAGCCTGCTGAGGATACACTGATTGACAAAATAGGGGCAATGCCTTCGCTGAGTTTCCTCAATTTTATTACCTGCAAACAGGAAGAAGACTGAAGCTAGCCACTCTACCTTCCCTCTCTACCAACCTCTCACAGCTGCTTACTTTACTTGGAATCCCCTCTCTTGGCTTCCCACTGTCTCTACTGCAAAGGCCCCCAGGGGTGCTGCTCCTTAACACTGATCCTAGCATGCTAACAACTCCTTGCCCTTGGCTAGACCTTTGCAAGACTACTGTAAACACTTATGAAGAAACAAAGAAATAAACAGGAAATGAAAAATCTATGCAACACCCTGGCTTACACAGACCTGGCCAGCCAGCATCCAGGCTTGTCTCTACTCCAGCCAGCTCTGATGACAAAGAGAGATTCCCCATGGGGCTGGCCCAGGTGCTCAGGCTTGGGTTCCTCACTTTTGACTCCCTCTCTGATGAAGAGAGTAATATGAGAAAATACATCATCTTACCACCCTACCCACATCCTGATTCCTTTCCAGTAAAATGCAAAGAGGCAGATTTCCACTCCACAGTTGGCCCTGGACTTGCTCCAGTTCTGGTTTCTGGAAGGAGCCCACCCTTCACAAGAGCCCCCTTTACATGGAGAATGGAGGTGTATGATTACAGTTAATTCCAGCTGCCGCCTGTGTCACAGCTATAAGCCCAGTGCCTGGCATACAGCAGGAGCTCAGTAAGTCCTTGTAAATCAGTGAATGGATGTCTTTAAAATTCATCACTGGGGAAATAAAAAAAAGATACCATGTTTACCATGTATCTGACATTCTGCTAAGCAGCTTGATTACAATGCCTGACCACAATTCTTGAAGACAGCAACTATGATCACTCCCATTTTACTGAGGAGGAAAATGAGTCCTAGACAGGTAGTCATATTACTAGGCAGTAATACAATGGATAGTAATCCATTCCCTCTGGTTCCATCAGCCCTAACCTTTCTCAGGATGCTCCACTGCCTCCTGCTATTCCTCTATTTACTAAATGCCCATTTGTCAAGGACTCTGCTGGGGGCCTCTGCCTATTGTGCCTAAGGTTGGCTGACTCAGAACCCAGGCTATTCATCTTCAGAGACTGACCCTTCCATAATACCAGGTGGCCCGCTTCCAGCAAACTATGGATTTCTATAACACATTATCAAGGCACCATGCAAGAAAGAGTCAAACTGTCCCAGCGTCATTCACACACATCACCCAGTTCATGTTTTCCTATGAAATAGATCCTACTTAAATATTTCGGGTTCACCACTTTTCCCATTATTATAGTTCTAACTGATCTCTATGATTATTTCCATACCTGGAACCTGAAAGCAGGGACATTCAACCCCTTGGGCAGCTTCCCTGAAATTCGACCTGTGAGCTGCAGCAGAGGACTTTCTGCATCACAGGTCCCCTGATCTTCCCCCTCTATGCCCTTTGTTCCTGGGTCACGAATATGACCTGCTGCGTCCTAGACTCCTAATCTTATGCAACCAGTACCCCTTAGCCTCAAAAAGTAAAGTAACTGCAAAGTGGAAAACATTATTCCTTTTTCTAGTTTGTAAAGAAAAAAAGGATAAAGATCCTCATCGTGTCCCTCATTCCCATACAATGTTAATCTCATTCACTGAAACCCAATCAGCTTGGTAAACCTATCACCACTTTATTATACCTCAGCAGGGTGGAGTAATTTGCCCAAAGTGACACAAACAGTAAATGGCATCAGGATTTGAATCACAGTCTCTTACCGCAAGTTTAGGGCTCCTTCCACAACATCCAACTAAAAATGAAAGCCAAACCCTTTGATTACTTCTTCAATAAGAACAACAAATGCAGCAAGAAATACCTATTGAGCTCTGAGCTGTAGATCACCATGTGACTCCATGATTTCATTTAATCCTATAGCAACCCTGTGAGGTAGGCAGTATGAACCCCATTTCCGAACTAAGGAAAGTGACGTTCTCAGACAGGAAGCTATTTAAAGTTGCATGGCACAGAAGCAGAGGGGCTGGGGTTTGAGGCTAAGTCAATGTGACTCCAAAGCCCGCATTATGAATGGTGAGAGTCGGAACTGGGATTTCATTTCATTCTTTTTAGGCAAAGATAAATACTCTGAAAAGAAAAACAGCTGTTAGGGATATGGGGAGGGTGGTCAGGCGGAAAGAAATGAGGGCATGGACTGTGGACAGCCAAGAGAAAGAAAAATAACAGAAATTCAAGCTGTGCTGCGCACAAGTCCTGGGACATATCTAAACTTCTCAGTCTACAAGACATTTCAAAGCACAGAAACAGCCTCCTGTCCAAGTCCCCAGCATGGACAGGACTGACTTTTGGCCCCTATTTATGATCAAAAGACTGTTCTGTATAAATATTTATACAGTTCATTAAATAATAGCCTGTATAAATATTGTTAGAAATGTGCCACAGGAAACCACAGACTTTGTGGCTGATTCTTCAACAAACGTGCAAACTGCTCAAATGCAGTGTGAAAAAAGGAAAAGGGGACCTGGAAATAGAGGGCTGTCCTTTGCAAACGGATTTTAGCAATCCTAAGAAGGGGGTACAAGCTACAAATACTCAGCTAAAAACCGATCATGTGGGGATTGTTCTTTTATACTTTTCTCCTTCTTTCCCTCTGAAGCATCTAAGAGCATTAACATTGCTGCCTAGGAAGACAATCTCCCAGGAGTGAATGAGCTTACCCTATTTCTTAAGGGTCCACTCCTCCAGGATCTATTTGGTGACAGTCCACAGAAGCAGTGTCCCAGAAATCTGGGAAGGAATTCAGTATCCTCTTTCAACTTTGATCTTTGGACTTTGCTGGGAGTTGATGTATACAAGTCCTGTGCAATTTATTTAGTTAGTTATACTGCAATGAGGGATTTGCTAAGATTGGGAAGGAAAAAGATGAACAATGAGTTTAGCTTGCCCACCTCAGTCTTCTTAACAGAAAGGACTGAATACCACTTTCAACAATTCTCACATGCTGTAAGACGGTGGGAAAATTTGAAATGAGAAGGAAAGAGATGATTTGGCAAAAATGTTGGTTCTCTGGGCTCTACCAACAATACCCAGGAAGAAAAGAACAGCTTGCCAACCAAAACTTTACCTCTAAACATGAAAATTTCTTAGGGCCTCCTCTTCGGTTCTTTTTCAGCCTTTCACTCTAAGGGGAGCCATTTCTAAAAGTTTTAAGGTTGCCAAGACTGGCTCAAAAGAAATCCAAACACTTCCACGGTTCCCCAAACTTTTAGAGTCTGTAGCAATGGCCCAACACGTTTTTCATCTAGACATACCTGTGGCTTGGCATAGTCTGTAAAAAGGAGTATAAGCATATTTTCACTCAAGTGTTCATTTTGTGGCATCCGAAGGAAGGAAGGGAGTAAGCGGGGAATCCATTCCCTGAATACTAAGAAGCTGAACCAGGCCCTTATCTAGCTCCTGGAAGAGCAGAACAACCTTTTATTCATCACTGATGTCTAACACTAATGCCTAACAAAGGACCTGGCTTGTTGCAGATCAAGAAAAATTCAAAAGAATCTGAGGAAAAGGAAGAGGGGGAAAGGAAAGTGTGGTGGGGAGAGGGAAAGAAGGGAAATGGGGGAAGGAGAGGAGAAAAGAGAAGGGAGGATGGGCAAGGAGGAAACTGAACTGGCAGTAAGTAGAAGCCTGAGTGATTCACAGATAAGAAACTAAGAAATCCCTTGATTGATGGGAGGAGGGAAGAAGAAAAAAAACAGCACACATATACCTTGGCTAACAAATGACATCCACTAAATTCCTCCTGCCCCAGAAAAGTCTATTAACATAATGCAGAGAAGGAACAGATTATGAAAATGTCAGTTCTAAGAGACCCAGATGTAAATCCAAATAAACAAAACACAAACCAACAAAACCCTTTCTCTATTCTGAGGGTCAGCCACTCACACCTGGAATGTTTCCTGTCACCAACTGGAAAGACCTCAAGACCCCCAGCACAAAGAAGTTCACATGTGGGACCCATGACATGTAGGTTCCTGGAGCCAGCTGGCTAACAGGCTCTGAAGATCCCAGACATCATAGAACATGAGAAAACAACATCACACACAATCTCTGGGCCCAGAAGTTCTCAAAAGAAGCTCCAACAAGGAGTGCAGAAGTCATCCTGCTAAGCAATGCAAGACTGTGTCTTGACAACTGAGGACACAAGCTGGGTCTATCTTATCCACCTCTGTATCCCCAGTGCGTACATACACAAATAAATTCAATATGTATTAGGTATTCAATAAGGAGCTGATGAATGGAATAACAAATAGTCACTGCATTTGGGAGAAATGAAGGCAATTCTTCTCCACAACACTAAAAAATAAATCTTCAATATCAGGGTCACCATATTCAATTCAGAATAGGAAACCTGATGCTTGTCCCATCTGTGTCTACCACTGACTGACTTGGGGCAAGTCTCTTCACTGATGTCTCTCTTCACAGGTATGAGACTCATGAATTCTATACAACTACTCCAAGGGGTTGTTGTGAAGATTAAAGGAAATAATGAGCACAGAGCGCCCTTTAAAAGGCAATTCCTTTATAACAAGAATCAATGGCACTGTGAGGCCAGAAGGAAAATTTGGGTGTAATAGTATAGCATCACCAAAGACACTCTACAGCCTTCTTACTCAAAGTGTGGGCCTCAAATCAACCTTCACTTCCAACACTGAATCACCTCCTGAAAACCACATCTTTTTAAAATAACGATTTATTAGGCCGGGCGCGGTGGCTCACGCTTATAATCCCAGCACTTTGGGAGGCCGAGGTGGGCAGATCACGAGGTCAGGAGATCAAGACAGTCCTGGCTAATATAGTGAAACTCCATCTCTACCAAAAATACAAAAAATTAGCTGGGCAGGGTGGCGGGCACCCGTAGTCCCAGCTACTCGGGAGGCTGAGGCAGGAGAATGGCGTGAACCCAGGAGGTGGAGCTTGCAGTGAGCCGAGAGCGCGCCACTGCACTCCAGCCTGGGCAACAGAGCAAGACTTCGTCTCGAAAAAAATAAACAAATATATATATATATATTTTTTTTTTCCTTAGGTTTTTGGGGAACAGGTGGTGTTTGGTTACAAGAGTAAGTTCTTTAGTGGTGATATGTGAGATCTGGGTGAACTCCTCACCCAAGCAGTATAAAATGAACTTTGTAGTCTTTTATCCCTCACTCCCTTCCCACTCTTTCCCACTGAGTCCCCAGTGTCCATTGTGTCATTTTTACGCCTTTGCATCCTCATAGCTTAGCTCCCACTTATGACTGAGAACATACAATGTTTGGTTTTCCATTCCTAAGTTACTTCACTTAGAATAATAGTCTCCAATCCTATCCAGGTTGCTGAGAATGCCATTAATTCATTCCTTTTTATGGCTGAGTAGTATTCCATCATGTGTGTGTGTGTGTGTATCATAGTTTCTTTACTCATTGATTGATGGGCATTTGGGTTGTTTTCAGATTTTTGCAATTGCTGACACCCACATCTTTTAATATGTGTTACCTATACCTAGTCATTCTCGCCACATCTAACAAGCTTGATTTCCAGCAAACAAACAAATATTAAGTGCTTTCACTATGCCAGGATGCTAGGAATAAGAGGCTGAAAAATACATTATCTCTAATTTTAACAAACTGACAGTCTAATGTTACGGTCTGAATGCTTGTGTCCTCCAAAAATGTATGTGTTGAAACCTAACCCCTAAGGTGATGGTATTAAAAAGTGAGACCTTTGGGAGATGATGAGGTCATGAGAAAGGAACCCTCATGAGCAGGATTAGTGTCCTCATAAAAGAGGCCCAAGGAAGACTCTTGCCCCTTCTACCATGTGAGGACACAGCAACAAGTCAGCAGTCTGCAACCCAGAAGACAGTCCTCACCAGATACCAAATCTGCCACTGCCTTGATCTTAAACTTCCCAGCCTCCAGAACTGTAAGAAATAAATGTTGCAAATTAGCCAGTACTTTTATGGTATTTTTTCATAGCAGCCTGAATATACTAAGATTAATGTAAAGACCTGAATTTTGAAAATCAAATGGTGATGACTCAAGTTATTCCTCATTTATATACCTCAAGCAAAACCTAATGCACCTAGTAAAACTGCATATAGTGGTAAAGTGGCTTCATGCTGCCACCAGAATTCTGATCATCCATACTTTAGGAATGAGGCATCCCATACCAACTCCACCTTTTTCCATAGAATGAAGAGAAGTTAGTGAGTTAATGGAGGTACCAGTTTACTGCTTTCATTACTGTTCCAACAGTTCTGACCAACGAGGTCAGAAACTCAGTATTTTTCAGGATTTTGGGAATCCTTATGCTCTTTACTGAGCCCATTTTTAAAGACTAACAAGAGGTGATTGGAAGAGGGACATGGTATTAAATCAGGAAGACGGTAGACAAGTTGGCTATCTTTTTAAATTTAAAGTTGGATTCCAAAAGGCAGAAAAGACAGAACCTACCAAATCCCCATGTGTGCCTCACAATGTGGCAGCCACAATAATCCAAACTGAGCCAGTTTTGGATGGTGAACCGTCTTCAATGGTGGCCAGAAACCATCACCTTCCTGTTTGGGTGAGGGAGAAGGGACAAGATGGAGGAAGGTAAACAAGAAGGCACCGCCCCTGTTGCTTCCAGGTTCTTCCTCACCAACTTTCCCATGCCCAGGAAGATGCAGATCAACCGAGCATGCGCCAGGTGACATCAATCCGAAGAGATCGAAACTTACCCGGCCACACCTACGGAGACGCCCCTATCACGCCCTTATCCCGCCCACTGCCCTCCCCCTTCCAGTACCAATGCATAAAAGTCCCCCGCTGGCAGGAGCCAGCATGACTTCTTCAGCCCCTGCATTCGTGGACCAGGGAACCTCACCCGAGAGCGCCAGCGTGACTTCCCTGGCCCCCCCCAACACCTGAGGACCAGAGAACCTCGCCCGAGAGTGTGCGCATATTTGCAATAAAAGACTGCCACTTTCTTATGTACTTTGGCCTCATGTTTAATTATTTAGCTCTCCTAAATTAAATTAAATTAAACAAAACACTTCCAAGAGTCACATGGGTAATGCCCAACAGCAGTCACAAGGAAAACATAAAATCTAAACTTGGCTGAAGCCAAATGCACAGAACAAGTCCTAAAGATATCATGGATGAAAAATCTGATTCATCAAATGACATCCCCAAACTCCACCAACAAACATCCCCTTAAAGAAATGAAACTTCAGATCTCCCATACCATCTTCCATAAAACCCTGCTTACTCCCTCCCAAGGGTTCTGTTCAACCTTGTGTTCCAATAAAGCACATTTACTTCTTTATAATGTCTTCCTGTGTTGCCGTACCAAGCCATTCCCTTTACAGAGAAAAGGAGAGGAGAACCCACATGTATAACACCTACCAAAATATATGTTGTTTCTCCCATCTACACGAGGAAACTGAAATGCTAAAAGAGTCAATATCCTGTTGATAGTCGCAAAGCCCATAGAGGGACAAAGCCATATTAAAGTACAGGTTTGCCAAAAGCAATTGCAAAAAATGACAAAATTGACAGATGGGATCTAATTAAACTAAAGAGTTTCTGCATAGCAAAAGAAACTATCAGCAGAGTGAACAGGCAACCTACAGAACAGGAGAAAATTTTTGCAATCTACCCATCTGACAAAGAACTAATATCCAGAATTTACAAGGAACTTAAACAAATTTGCAAGACAAAAACAAACAATCCCATCAAAAAGTGGGCAAAGGATATAAACAGACACTTCTCAAAAGAAGACCATTTATGCAGCCAACGAACATATTTGTAAAAGCTCAACATCACTGATGATTAGAGAAATGCAAATCAAAAACACGATGAGATACTATCTCACGCCAGTCAGAATGGTGATTATTAAAAACTCAAGAAACAATAGAAGCTGGCGAGGCTGTGGAGAAACAGGAATGCTTTTACACTGTTAGTGGGAATACGAATTAGTTCAACCATTGTGGAAGACAGTATGGCGATTCATCAAGGATCTGGAACCAGAAATACCACTTGACCCAGCAATCCCATTACTGGGTATATACCCAAAAGAATATAAATTATTCTACTATAAAGACACATACCATATGTTTATTGCAGAACTGTTTACAATAGCAAAGTCATAGAACCAACCCAAATACCTATCAATGATAGACTGGATAAAGAAAATGTGGTACATATATACCATGGAATACTATGCAGCCACAAAAAGGAATGAGATCATGTCCTTCACGGGGACATGAATGAAGCTGGAAGCCATCATCCTCAGCAAACACAGGAACAGAAAACCAAACACTGCATGTTCTTACTCGTAAGTGAGAGCTGAACAATGAGATCACATGGACACAGGGTGGGGAACAACACACAATAGGGCCTTTTGGGGGGTGGGGGGACGAGGGGAGGGAACTTAGAGGACCAGTCAATAGGTGCAGCAAATCACCATGGCACATGTATACCTATGTAACAAACCTGCAGGTTCTGAACCTGTATCCTGGAACTTAAAGTACAATATTGAAAAAACAAGAATCTTAAAAAAAAAAAAAAGTTCAGGTTTGTTATCAGCCATGACTTGGCTTTCCACACTAACCAAGCTGCCTGTGTCCTGGGCACACACAGAATGAAGTTTCAAATCTGTTTATCCTGTAAAGCCTTCTCAGATGATCATTAGAAATGCCTTCTCCATGATCCAGTTAATACAGACTACCTGATGTCACGATAAATCCTACTGTGGAAAACATTAGATACTAACTGAAAATGCTCTGCCCCCTACCTTCCTTGTATGAGTACAATGCATTGTAATGTAGTAATAAGTGGAATTACTGGGTTGTGGAGAAGAGGATTATGAATATATAAAATAGTCAAATATCTTTTAAAATAAAAAGACCATAAAAAAACTTTCTTCCTCTGCAGAGTTCTAGCAGCATTATGAGCAAGCCTTCTATGTGGCTTGTGGCTGAAGCACCATGTTCCTCTTTGGAGCAGCCTCCCTCCCAAGCAGGGGACCCCATTTAAATAGGAACACA